CCTTCACAGTACCTTATGTAGTGTTTTACAAAAGTTTTGGGTCCAATATACCAAGCCATTTTTGCCCGGCATGGCCAGGTGGTTAGGGCTTTTGACTCGCAATCTGAAGGTCTCGGGTTTAAATCCCCGTCTCAACAAACATCCTCGCCTTTCAGCCGTTATAATATGAAGGTTAATCCAACTATTCGTTGGTAAAAGAGTAGCCCAAGAGTTGGCGGTGAGTGGTTATGACTAGCTGCCTTCCCTCTAGTCTTTCACTGCTAAATTAGGGATGGCTAGCGCAGATAGCCCTGGTGTAGCTTTGCACGAAATTCAAAAACAAACAAGCCAAGCCATTTTGTTGAAGGCTGGCAAGAGAATAGTAAAAATAATAAGAAGAAGATTTATAAACGTTTCGTTTTGAGCGGATTTTCTTTTCCTTGTAAGTCTAGCATGCGTGCTTTTTGTGCATTTTTATATGTGTACAGACTTAGCAATCAATAGTAAAGGTTTTAAATGTTGTTTGAACTGAATCTTTACTGTTTAAGGTGCTTTTTGCCTGAACGCTTTGATAGGGTTTTGCGATCCCTATTATGAACCATTATCGTGGCTCATGATAAACAGTATCACATAACACAAATATAAACTTAGTACACTCATTGTTTTATTTGATTATGTTGAAGTATTTTTGATCAAGTAGATTGAAACGTTTCAAAAGTACAAAGTTTTTTGGATATATTCTTAATATTTCCAGTATAAAGCCAGTTATAATGCATGAAAATGCAGACTGTGTGTGCATGTAGTACTGAAGGCACGAATTAACACTGTGATGGTGAGGTATGGTTGCTCTCCTCTGTGCTGGACTTGTATCTGAAGAAAGTGAAAAGGGATTTGAGATGTTGATATTAATTTCTTTGATTTGTTTGTTTGAAGTTAAGCACAAAGCTACACAATGGACTATCTGTGCTCTGTCCACTACGGGTATTGAAACCCGGTTTCTAGCGTTGTAAGTCCGCAGACATACCGCTCTGCCACTGAATGGCTCTATTGTTGGGGAAAAAAATTTGTGCCTGGATGGCATTCAATCTATTTTGGATTACTGTTGTGGGCACACTACTCTATAGTCTTGTCTCCATTTTTTTTCTTTTTGGACCCAAGCTCTGTATTTGTATAACAACCGAATATTAGGGGGAAGAATGTGGTGGGGTTAGCTATAGATCATCATTACAGTCATGACGACCTCATAGAGCACAGCTGAGGTATAAATCAAGTTCGAGACTTAGGATGCCTGCATTGATCGAGCTGTCCCCAGGTAGTAGGCATCGTGTTCTACAGACAGATTGAGCATGAACTCACATAATCTGTAGGCATTGAGCTTGAACACAGGATTATTTTTGAATTTTCACACTGGTCTTAAAGAGAATTTCAGGATAGTATTTTAGTAACTAAGATATTACAATTTTAACCTTGACCGAGATTTTCTGATCAACCAGAATTATTTTCATCCTGCATTTTCAATCCAGCCTTTTTCTAGTTAAGATCCAATTCATAACCCTTCTGGCTATTTTTATTTTCAGCTAGCCAGATATGGACGATATTATCTTAATTGTTGCTTCCAATCCAGATCTCTGCATAATATGGTGCAAGAATTATTGATGAATCTTTTCTTTTTGACATTTCAGATGTTTCCCGTTATTGTCAGGGACTCCAGGGGCTGGCCACACATTCATGTCTTCAGAGCCTATAAATGAAGACACATTGCTTGATGATGCATTCGACATGAAGATGGAGGAGGCTATAAACATTCTTGTCCTCCAGGCTCCGGAAACATTGTAAAATCCCACCGTTTGCCTTACTTGTGATATTCCAGCTGACAGAGCTTAAAAGTGAGGGTTCTGGCTAACCCTTAACATTCAGTGTGCCAACCATCTAGCCCATTAATCCTACACGAAATCCAGCTCCTCTAGCAGTTAAAAAGAGGACCAAATCCAAATTAAAGTCCTAAGTAGATCCAGAGCACCAGGAAAAGAACTTCAAGTGCCCCTTTGGGGGGTTGTTTTGTAAAACATAATGACTTTAAAATGATGAGTGCTTACCTCCAGTGAGACCTTCACACCTCTCATCCTTACAATACCTTCCAAGAGTTATGTCATTGTTGGAAGTCATCGAAATAAAAAAGTCACTCCATGACTTTCACCAACACTCCAAACATGATGACAAAGTTGCACACTGACCATGGAAATGGTAGCTAAGACATTGACCTTCAACATTAGCATCAGGGCATCTGTATTATTGGCAACAAGTTCTCCTAAAGCTCCAGAGATGAGGACAAAAAAATTGTAGCTTCCCATCAAGACCCCAACCAAGGTAAAAGGGCAGTTGATGCTGAAGCAGGTAGAGTTCTTTAAATGACACTGGCAAGATGAAGCAGTCATGTGAACAGAGGCTTTGTCATTATATAATCTAGGAATGCTATCTGCTGAAATGCAGAGAGAAAACAAGGGATGCCATCCCCAAGAGGATCTGTTGAGAACTTGTATGGCTCTTTCGCAAGGGACAGGGGGATTACTTCTTTCTAGACCACCATGGCGCACTGAAAATTAACCACTGCATAGGGGGGGGGGGTTGCTGTCAAGGTTTCTATAGGTAAGCAACTTCTTCCCTATAAATCATATATATAACTATAGTATGATTTTATTCATGTATTTATTTTCATTTATAGTGTATATATGTATATTTTGTTTATTACAAAGGGTTTAGTTCATAGTGTGTACACGTATATTTCAGTAGTGTAATTATTTTAAGTGTTTTATTTTATTTTGTATGTGTATTTTAGGTTAAATTTAGTGTAAAAATTCTAGGTTAGTATGTATACAGATTTATTTTAATTGTGTGCACATTTATGTTCTTTCTGCAGGATGGTCATTGTTTGATGTAATTTTCTTGTAATAGTAAAAGGTTCATTATGTGTTGTTCTTTGTAAATGGTTTTTCTTTTTATGTTTTACATTTCATAGTTTTATTGATAAGAGGTTATTTGCTGAACTGTGTTTTGTTAAAGGGTTTTATCTTATGCATTTGTTAAAGGGTACGTTTCCTAGCAGCACTGTGATAAAGGTGTTTTATGTTTTTCTGTATTAAAGGGTTGTTTTTGTGTGTAATACAGATAATTTTCTTGGTTAAAGGATATAATTTTATGTACAGCCATTTCTTCTATGTATTAAGGGTACTTGCATGTACAGTGGTGGAAAAGTGATTGCATCATTCAATTTTTTTCACACTTTTCTTGGTTCCTATAATTTTTTACAAGATTGTGCATTGTGGAATTGCCAGAACTATTGTAAAATGGTTATGGACATTGTATGGTATAACCTAAATCACATTTCAATCATATAAACACATATATGCATCTTTGTTAACAAACCAGCCATGATAAACGTATTACAGCACTTGATCAACAAATACAAAACTTTTCTCTGAGTAAAAAAACTTAGATTTAAAGATAATACCACTGAAGTAACTGACAAAAGTGGTCACAGTGTCTGTTTCTTGTGTTAATATTAGGTTGTACCTCCTCTAGCATTGATGACTGCTTGATGTGAGTGCGTAGAGTACACGAGGGACTGAATATTGACAGGGGTGAGTTCATGAGGCACATGCAGATTAGGGCATCCTGCAGTTCCATGGTGTTTCTCGTTTTCTTCTCTTGCACTTTGTTACCCATTACCATCCACCAGTTTTTGATAGGGTAGAGATCTGGGCTGTTGCTTGGCCAGCATAATGTCTTGATCTTAACACTTTAAAGATAACCCTTCATCTGAAACAATGAAATAAAGCCAAAGACATCTTTTTCAATTCAGAGTAGAGTAAAATTCCATGTTTACTGCATAGAGTACATGAATATTATCAACCAATTTTTTTACCCCTGTGGTATGGATAAGAGCCATCCTGAAATGTTCACTGGTCAGCTACACTGCCCCTGAATTGTTGGCTTTAACTAGACTCGAGGATCTTGATGTATTTGTCAGAATTGACAGAGCCTTTCACAAAATGCTAGCATCTACCTCCTTGTCAGAGATATATCCCCATGTCACCTGACCCTGTAGATGTTTTACAATTACATTCAAACATGCTGGATGAAATGCTTCACAACATCAGTGTTGTACAAATTGCTTCCCATCAGACTCGAGAAAGTTGAACTTTGATTCATCTGAGAATATCACTTTGCTCCCTATTGCCTCAGTCCATTCAGCATGTTCTTTGGCCCAGTTAATCATAATTTTTCTCATCTTGCTGGAAGATTGTCTAAACACAAGTGAGACTAGACAAAGTTCATGGTGACAGTTATCCCTGAAGTTTGCTGCCATGCTCTTTTGAGATCTGTGGACAAAAGTTGACGATTCTGCAGGTTCTTGCATTTCAGAACATAATCATCAGCTGCTGTTGAAGCTTTCTTCCCACCCCTTCCTTTCTGCTGCTCCATATCTCTACACACAGTGACTTACAGTAAACTGGTTAAATTTAATTCTTGTAGCAATCTGCCTCGTGAAATATCCATTATTGCTAAAAAAAACAATGATTACTTTTTTCTGTGGAGTTAACTCGCAACCCTTGACCATGGTAGCATCACACTCATGTTGTAGCAGATAGGCTTATAAACTGACTTTCAGAAATAACCTCTACTTATAGCCAAAAAATAACTGATACAATAACCACACAGCTTATGAAGCTGCTGAAGTAATAATTAGATAATAGTGCATCATCCATGAAACATATTTGTACCTACATGCATTAAGATCTCAAAACAGATGATGATTCCAAAGAAAGATGTGAAAAAATTGGGTAATGCAATACATTTTTCTGCCACTATAGTTTCTGTGTTCTTTCTAGGTTTAGTGTAGCATGTTAGATCACACCATCCTAAATGGGTGAATTAGCTGTTGAAACATTTTATTTTATTCTAATGCTGTTTAAAGCTGCTTTTAGTGAGACTTGGTAGTGTCATTAGGCAAGTGTTTTTGACTGGGGCAAAAGTGGGTTGTTTTGACATATTGAGTAACACAAAATCAAAATTTGATTTCTTTTGTAGTTTTAGAATTAGAAATTGCCTAGTAATAAAGGATGGGGGGATTTGGGTACAAGATGGTACCATGTGCTAGGTTCTCACCCATATTTAAGATGCCCATTTTACAAAATTTCTGTTTTTCTTTCAGTTCAGAGAGTTGTGCAACAATTCAACTTTCATTACTTTTGTGTACATCATACTCATATTTCCTGTTTTGTCATTAAACATGCTCTCTTGCATTGAAAATAATTGTAACTTCACCCTGACATTTTAAGACAGACAACTCTCTTTACTGTCTGTGAATCCATACCACTAAGCTTGAATGCATATGGCTCTAGGTCACCTGAGCAAAGAGCATGGCATTAACAACTTGGCTTTGTTATTGCGTTTTTTATTTAGAGCCAGGTTCTCCCATGTAAAGCAAGGTTTTGGAGTTTTCATAAAGATTAAGATATGCCAGAGTTCTCCTAGAGATTTAGCACTTCCTTTTGTAACTGTAAAGGTTAACTTCAGGGGTTGCTTTTATTTAAAAATGTTCACTTTGTTTTTCTTTTAATGTGAGGGAGGAGGACACAGTGGATTGAGTGAGAGAAAAGCAATAAAGTTTTTTTTTTCACATCTCTCTCTTACTGGTTCAACAAACCCACAACAAACATTTGCCCTTGTTTTGTACCAGTGTATTGGGTTTGTCTTGTTTTTATTCAATAAGAAATGTGGTTTCTTCATTGTGCTTATTGACTCCTTCTTTGTTGATAAATGTAGTCAGAGTATTGAGAAGTAAACAAACCAATACCCTGTGACATGGTATGTTTTGAACCTTGTATTCGTGGGCACTAACTGTCTGCCTAACAGGAAATTTATGTACCAGAGATATGCCACATAGTTAACAACTCAAAAAGGAGATACAAAACACATGCTTCAAACATGCTAGAAAATTGCACATTCATATTCACTAAGGTAGAGTTCCTTGGGTATGTTGTGAACCATGATGGACTCAAGACGGACCCTGTTAAGGTAGCAGCTTTCAATAACTGGGCTGGCCCACATCTTGGAAGAAAGTTTATAGCTATTTTATTACTGGTAAAGCTGCATCTCCATCTGCACTGACTAGTTTGGATGTTTCCCTCAAGTAACGTAATAATTTAAGTCAACTAGTCAGCATGGTAGCCTGCTGGATCACAGCACACCAGGAGTTCAAGTACAAGTTTCAGCATTGTCCTAGTAAGGTGAATGGTAAATCAAACAGACCATCATTACATTCTGTGCAAGCAAAACTAATCACTCAGTGTCTTATCTTTGACTGTCATATAGTGCATTGATGGCAGATGCACCGATTCAATTGTACTGACATCTGGGCCCATCAGTGAAAATCAACAGATCCACAAGTAGAATGACTAAACTATCTGGATAATGTTAACCAGTTGAACAGCAAGTAGCCACCATTAATTATGGGCATTTCATGGCTAACGTACTGATCAGTAGTAGTCACACAATCTGACATTTATATCATCAATTAAAGTTATAAGACCGTATACTCTGTCAGTCCTACTATTCACACAGCTAGTTTGGTATCAAAACTCTCTAGACAGGAATTTTTTACATATTACACAACACCAAACTGGGGAGTACCAAAAAATACAATACACCACAATAAACCTTTCTTACTGCTTCTGTTGCCAAAATCTTTGCAGGATGTTTAGCAGTGTTGCAGGCACTGAATGATGTTTACAACCAAACAGTAGAACTAGCCCTTAAATGGTGAACCATGAACTCACATCATGAAAAAATCTTCTTGGACATCACTGGAATTATCTAAGAAACAGATTTGTCAGTTACAACATATACAAATTGATCATTTTACATTGTACACCAAAGCTCATGACATAATCAGGAGCAGGGCTCAGACAGTATGGGGTGTACTGTAGTAACAGCAGCTGATTTCTTGCTTTAGAGTACTCATTGAAATACAAACAGAACAAACTTTAACAGTCATTTCTTTGAAGGGCTGCATCAATATCTGAAACTAGTGAAGGTTCAGACTCCATTATGTCATTCTTAATTGTATATATCTTTATGAGAGGGCTGCACAGATATTTAAGCCTATCAGGGCCATAGAGTACCTTTCAGGTGTGAGTACAGTACACAACTGCATACAAGATTTCAAAATTTAAGTACGAATAACAATTCTAACTTTATTTCTACAATTTTTAGCTCAAAAATATTTTAGAATTGATATTTTGTCATTTTGTAACGTTTATCTACATTAATTAACAAAGAAAAATGGGAAAAAAAATTAAACCAATTTCTGCACATCTATGAAAAATCTTACCTATAAACAATGTAATTAGCGATATTTTTATAGAATATTTATGCCTGTATCACTTGAGAATATAAGTATCCAATGTTGTTTCTCATGTGAATTTTCTTCCTCTGTTTAAGTATTTACTATTACAGCTCTTGGTGTTCACTCTTTTATAATGTCACAGTGTGTGTGGTCTAAACAATTAATATAGTACAGTTTTGAAAACAGTTACAGACAAAGTAAATACCGTTGGATATAGTACATTACAAACTATTTATGT